GGTCCTCTTCTATGGGCCAGCCACGTGGTCAGGAGCTCCTCCAATCTGACGCCGTCATATACGATTTCTTTCCTTCTTCCAACACGGTGACAGTCGCATTTTGCTCTAAAGAGGCGGTGATCTGAACCACTGCTGAAGGATAGTACCACTGAGATGTTAAGCACCACCTTCGGTTGATGAGAATGTGGTCGATTTCCGCATGAGTCGTACCATTGGGTGACTCCAATATCCACCATCGCTGTGTTCCTTCTTCATGAAGATGGAGTTGCCATGAAAAGTCGTGCGGCGGATAAGCGTTAAGATGATTACAATTCTCATTTCAAACTCCTAATCCAAATCTCCTGGTCCCATGCGCCCCTTTTTCGGACATCCCGATTTGAAGCTAGACAAATTTGTAGAAGGACTTCTCTTGGCAGATGACTTCGTCCAACCTCATAAAAAGCATCGAGTTCGGAATCATCACTGCTGATGTTGGAGAATAGCAGTTGATGAGGTTTTCTGATGCAGAGGACGGAGTCGAAGGATAGTTAGGCGAGGAGATAGGATCTCTTGCAAAACGACAAGATGGACAACAGATGGGTGTACAACAAATCCAACGCCACCAAGGTTCCGTGATGGAGCTTTCACCACGAATGATAATTGTACCATCACTCAGCTGCCTCACGTCCGTCTTCCTGGACTTTGTTTTCTGCAAGGCGATTACATAATAATTGAAGCCCTGCAGCTTCGACAAGGACGCGAACATCAGCGTTGGTGGAGACTGTTTTGCGTTGTAGGTGCAGGGCATGAGACAATCTCCATAGAGTCTTGACGTGTCCATTTGGTCCGGAATCCATAGCGTCCTGTGCAATCTGACACTGGTTTTGATGACATCCGACGCCGTAGATGTGATCCATTGTGCAAGGCTTCTTTTTCTCTTACATGCTGTACAGGCAATAGAGAAAAAACTTCCTCAAACATTAGCAGAGCCTTGCCAGGACCCGCTAAGCTTTCACCACAGGCAATCGCTACCTTATGTGGATCAGGGAATCACATAGCGAATGAATCAGTCAGACGGTGGTGCTTCTGATGGCCTACTCTTAGTTGGGCATCGAGAGCCGAAAACGTCGAACTTCTTCCTGGAAGATAAACCTCCTCTGTATTTCGCAGTTCGACATCCAGAATCACCCCGTGCCACAATAAGGCGGTAGACCATCACGGGGATTTCCAACACACTTTCATTTCATTCTGGCCTTCATCCTGTATCTACTCTTCAATGGCCATGAGTATACGTCTTACTTCAATTATTTGCACCTTTATTTACATCTTGCTTGAGCACAATATTGGGATCCTAATTTCAATGACGATCATGAATAGGAAGCGCCGCTGTAGGAAGCTTATCTTGTATTTTTAAGAAAAGTAGTCAAACACATAAGACAATGGGTTCACTGTTATCACGGCGTAATGATTTTCCTTTGAGGAAAACTATTACTAATTATATCATAATAAGTAATTCAAAACCACTTCGTCTGTGCCCTGCCTATCTGGCTTCCTGAATCAACTCTTTTCGTCTTTTTGTAAATCTTTATTGTCTTTCACAGAAAGTCCTTGCTTCTTGCGAAAAATAAGATACATCATTGTTCGTCTCTTCACCATTTTTGAAAATTATGAAATAAAATTTCGTAAATCAGCAACATGTGTACTTCTCCACTGCAAAGTTTAATGGCAAATTTTCAGGACGATGAGGGCGTGACATGGATGCATTTTTCCCAGCGCAAGCAAAAAGGTAAGGTTTCTGCTTTTTCTTTACAAAGTTTACCTTACCTTTTAGTTTAGGCCCAATATTAGTTCATAAAAGTAGTCCAGAAGATACGCAGAAAACCAAAAGGACCTTTAACAAGGATCGCTATTTCTAATTCTTGTCAGAAGATTTAAAACCGTTCATGTAAACTAGCATGTAGCATGCGCAGAGTATTTTGTGGTACCTTTTTGCAGCACAGATATAAAGATAAGGTTGCATTTTTTTGCATACTTATCTACTTACTCATGAAAATCTCAACGTATATGAGTTCAAACTCCATTCTTGTATGTTCAGTGAAAACCCGGACTGTGATTTAGCCCCGCTCCTTTGTATTATTAGCCAAATCTTCGTTTCTCTCGAACCTTGAATAAGCTGACTTCTGGGAATTTCCGAGG